GTCTCGCGGTGAAGTTGATCCCAGGCATGGGCCCGACAGATCCGAATGGATGCGATTTCATGAACACCAGGTCTGGTACGATTGGGCCAGTGGCGAGCGGTCAGAACCGCCGAGCCCAGCACACTACGGAGATGTGGACAAGAAAGCAGCTTTTGTATCGGTGAAGTACGTAACCTTTCCAGAACCCGCCGATAGGAACATCAACATGATGCCGTTTCGGTTTGGCGACAAGGACTCTTTGCCTGTGGAATATCAGTGCTACTGGCATCTGATTGAGGAGTGCCCCTACATGGACCCCAATCTGTTCGAGGGGTCGTCAGTTGGATACCTCACTGTGCACGAGAGCTTTGTCGACGCCACCAAGGCTCAAAGGAGACAAGGTCTTCACATTGAAGCCCCCGGTGTCTCCACTGCCGAGGAACTCGGAAACATCGAAGCATACAGCTCCCATAGGAAGCCCGTAGTTCATTTCCATTGGGGAATGGGAAGATACGTGGAGGACGACGAAACCATGCGCCTGGAAGGAGGAATTTTCATGGCCTCTACTGTCGCCAATACCAGCCAGCTTTGGCACGCCTTGGTAGATAAATCCACTCCTGGAATCGTGGATCATCACGGTGGCTGTGAGCACTTGCGCCCACTGCTTGGTCAGGGTCAAAAGTTGGACGCCAATGAGCTCATTTGGATGACGGACAGCACACCCCACGAGGCTTTGCCTCAGCAGGAATCGGGGTACCGCCAGTTCTTTCGAGTTGTGACGTCCGAAATCTCCCACTGGCATGCCGATCATTCGACACCGAATCCATTGGTTCCCTTGCCTCGCGATGTGACAGTTGTTGCTGGTAACAAATTTGCTTGAACGTGGCTGATGCGAAAACTGCACAATGCGAGTAGAAGGTTCCGTGAGCCGGTTTAGAACCCGTCACGACTGACCATGACAACCGAATGATACAATGAGTCAACCCATGTTATGTGTTTTAACTTTTTAAAATGAATTGTCTTTCCGACCAGGTTCTTCTGCATGCCTAACCACTCAAACCTCAAACCGCTACAGGTTCTAGACATCGTATTCGGCCCTGTCATCATCAAAATCTTGGTCAACTTTATCGGAGCCATCAATGAGAGAGGTGCAGGAATCCAAACGAAGGACAGAGGCACGGGTAGCAAGGGGCGTCCTTGCGTCCATCAAGGTCATATCCACTGTCATTGCCTTGGAGCTGGGGAAATCCTCCACGTGGTGTGCCCATTTGGAGGCCAGAAAAGAGTAGATGTGCTTCACAATGGTCTCTTCTTGTCCCTGTAGGCTTTGGAGAGGACACGCAGTGTCGTGAATCCCTTCCAAGATAGTTCGGAGGCAGGTTCCCCATCCGTAGCGCTCGCAACGATAAACAGACGCAGCCACACCCGGCAAAGGACCCGTGCTGTCCATAGTTTCATACTGTGAGCCCGAAGCGCTCAGCTCGGTCCGCTCCTGGTTTCGTGGACCTTCAAGGCTCGTGGGTCGAGTTTTCGATGCCATTTCTCTTGTCTCCTATCGTTGTTCTCTTCCTCTATATGTGTTTGTGCTGTCTGTCGTGTTTGTTTCTATGGAAATGCAAGAGAGCTTTGTTTCTTTTCGGATTCAGACGTGTGTGTGTAGGTGTGTGTACGTTGAGTGTTGTGTGAGATGTGTGATGTTGTGTGAGATGTGTGTAGACGGGTAGTTGCCACCCTAGTGCCCCGACGGTTACCCGAAGAGGTCAACACATAACGGCAGAAAAAGGCAGGCGTGAGAAGTAATCAACGACAAAATCTGAATGCGACAAACCATGAATAAATGTTGCAAAACAAATCACCGCTGCTGGGGAGTGCACCCGTCGAAACCACATAATTGACCGCCGTGTAAAAACAATGAACGCATCTTCTCACCATCGTCCCGTGTTTCTGCAATTCAATCGAAAATGTAGAATTCTCCTAGCAAAATACCCCTGTTGCACCGTCGCCATATTTGTCGAGTTGAAGTAAATTTTTTGGCATAGCTTCGACGTCGAACCAAGATTATGAAAATGGGATGGAAAAGTTTCCCGGTTTTGTCGGTTTTTACGGGATTCCTGTAGAACGACTACCGGCGAGGTCGCCAATTAACGACAAGTACTGACAAACGTATCCCAACCGAATTTCTACTTAGAAGACGTAATTAGGTGATATCTTTCTGGCGATTTCAGTTGAAGTACGTTTACTACTATTTTAGTATAAACGCTCACAAAGCCCTAATTATAGTCAAACATCGTAACTACCTCCAAGATCATCCACCTATGTGACTCACCTCCAATTTACACGGATTACCATGTCATCTAAGTCCAATTAGGCTAAATGCAGGAATAACAACGTACTTTTGTACTGAAAAATAGATACACGTATCCTCCTGACTACTGAATATTACACAGCCGTACACCTCTGCCGCTAATCCTAAACACCAAACTGGTGCCACCAATCGTTGAGTAAAAGACGCAATCCCTCAGTAGAGATAATACCGACAATGACGATAGCTGCCGCTGGCAAAGGCAAGATAATAGAGCGATGGACACATATTCCACTACCTTAACAATTAAAACTACTAACTAGATCACCATGTAGTCGGATGATGGGTCGCTGACACTGATCTCACTAACACTAGAGTCAGCTGAAAGGCTACAGTCGTCGCTGGAATCACTGTCATCCTCCGGATCCCAATTGTCCGGGTCGTCAACCAATTCTCGGTAGTCCCAAAGACGATCGATATCTGCCGGTCTGTACCGAAGGCTCGCTAGACCCACCATGAAGGAAGCCCAAAGGTCGTTTGTGTGCTTTCGCCTCCACATGCACTCATAAAGGTACTCCTGCAGATCGCTGCCCTCCCGCTTGCTCTCTGGAACATTTTTCTTGAGGACTCTCCAGTTTCCTTCAATCGTTTGGGTGTGAGTTCCATCCTGTGCTACGAACTCATATTTATGGCAAAGTCTCTTGTGCGTGTAGCCGTAGCCCTCCTGTTCCTCTATCTTGTTGTAGCCACCATGCATGTCAGTGTGAATTGTTGTTCCTGGGAGAACAAAAGCTGTAATTAGAGGAAGCAGAGTGTCGGCTTTCCTGTTTGGAACAACAGCAAGGGCCATCTTCCTTTCGCCACCACGTTCCACCATTCCGAATACCCAATCAGCATTGACGCAACGCCCTCTGTTGTCTTTTCGCTTTCCAAACTTGCCTTCATCCATCTCAACAATTCTGCCTGCCCCACCTAGCATGTATTCCTCCCTGCCCGCCTGGAGCACCATCTCGGTCACCAATCGCCGCCAATGCCTGTACCACCTACTAACTGTGCCCTCGGAAACGGCAGAAAGAACACTCGCAGTTCTCGCTGGCACCTTCAAGAGCCATAGGTTAGCCACAGAATCTTGTTCTTCTCGAGTCTGCAGTTCTCCATAACACTGCCTTTGTTTATGGAGCACTCGAATGCCGTTCCACTCTGTTTCCAAGTCCAGTGGCAGCAACTGTTCTGACAAACCGCCGATAGGACCTCACCGGTTCCTTCCTCGGTGTAATTTGCCACTTGATCACCACACTTGTCGCAAGCTGTAGGAATGATGAAAGGGCAATCTGATCTCCTGCAACGAACAGTATTCCTCGAGTTCGGTTTGTAGGCGATAGGATGGGTGCATCGTGGGCAGTTTGCTGGTGGCTGGAGAACTCCCTTATCGTAGAAATACTGGGGCATTGTCATTGCTTGTAAGGAGAGGCTGCAGTTCATCGAAAGAGGGCATAACTCCACCCTTCTCTAGCTCATGAATTTCCCGTTGTGCTCTCTTCCTGCGTTGTCCCCGGCTGAGGGCACCACTGCCATTGTTCCTTGGACGATTCGTGTTCTTGCGCCGCCGCCTTTGCCATCCCTTTCGGAATAGTCCTCTCAAAGGATTCGGCATTGCCAACGACTAGCTTGAAAAAGTGAGGCCATCCAAACAGTCAACAACGATCCTTTTGAAATACAGGGATTGTGTGACAGCAACCAAGCTACCGCCAAAAAGGCGTGAGCAGCGATTTGGAAACACTATCTAACAGACCGGCTAGCGATGAACTTCATTACTACGTATTAGGCTACAGATATTGTAGATTGATGCCGGAACTCTCCAGCCTGCCTAAGTACAGTATGGGCACCTCCGATGGCATCTCTTAACCACAGTAGCGCGTCGCCACCAACAAAAGACGAATGAGGTGGCATTGCCTCATTGGCTCTCCACATTCAAAATTCAAATTCGAACAGGCAGATTGTTCTGTTTCCCTCCAAAAGAACTGCTCGGTGGTATCCCATGGTTGATTGTTGGTTTTCACAAAAATGGCCAACCAATACTCTCGTGTGAAATACATTCTTCGCGGCAGGACAGTCATGGCGATGTCGCCAGCGAAGTTCCCACCAATGTCCTCACCGGCGAAGGCTCCCCCCACTCCACCATCACCAAATGAAGACAGAATCTTCGGCTTTTTCACCCAAGCCACCCCCCAGCGATTGCCTCCAGCTTCGCCAATGGTTGCAAGGACTGGAAAAGGAAAACCAAAAGACGACCGACTCTTTGGAACACCAGAAAAAGAGAACCAGCCGAACCAGCCGCCCGCTGGGAAGAGGCCACCCAGGACACCAGAAGACGCCCCACCGATGAAAAGGAATGATGTGGTTCCCTCAATCGAGAAGCAGATCAACAGGCAACTCGCTGGTTTGGACCAAGACGGATCCTACACCGGAGGGCACATGGAAATGGGTGAGTCGCCATTTATGTTCCTGCTCGCTGATGTATTTGTCACAAGCAGAACCAAAACTCACCGACTTGGCTGGTGGCAACGGAAAGCCTCACCGAATTCGGTAACCACTGTTTCATCCACAGAAGAAGAACCAATCAGCGAGGGCACTCTTAAGAAGTGGTTGATCGAGGAATCACAGCACAATGCCCGAATCCTCGCCAAGAACGGGCCTTCCACACCACATCGAATGGGCGAACCAAAGCCACCCAAAGAGAAGAAGAATGAGCCCCAGAAACAAAAGCTCCCAAAAGGTGGCAAAACAAGGATCGACAAAATCATGAGGATCATCAGGAAGGACATCACCAATGAGTTCGTGCACAACCCAAGGATGATGGAGCTTTCGGCAGGAGAGATAGCGAACCGAATGGAGAGTGTGGCGATGTTGTTGTCATTGGAGGCATCCAATCTCCCCTCAGCTGTCAACCATGCCAGAGCCCAAAAAAAGAACTCTTCCAAAAGTGTTTAAAAGCGAGAAAGTGAAGGTGACATGGAAAAAAGAAGGGGCCTTGTTCGCCCTTAAGTAAGTTAGTGGTAAGAAGAAGTAGTAGCGGTAAAAAGATTAGCCAAAAGTGACATGTTAAGTAACTAGCGAGGTTAGTGGCCTCCCAATCGCTCTCTTCAGCGATGAGTTTGGGAGATCAAATTTGCGAGTGGATTGTTGTGCCTGTGTGTTGGAGTTGAGAGTGTGGCTCTGCTGGCGCCTGCGACTGCCCCAGAGGTGCCCTGAGTCATGAGCATGACGTTAGGGCGTGGCCCTTCGGGCCACCCGTGTAGACACTACTAAGAGTTAATCTACGACGAATCTACCATTTGGATGTTTATCCATGGGGTATACCGTTGCTTGCTGATTTCCAAATTCTGAGCTTAAGAATTTCGCTGTTTGCAAAGAGCTGGTAAGGTATAGACCGAAACCAAGCTAAACTAAACCGTAAATCCAATACCTCGATGGGCTGGATGTGTGTGTGTGTGTAGGTGTGTGTACGTTGAGTGCTGTGTGAGATGTGTGATGTTGTGTGAGATGTGTGTAGACACTACTAAGAGTTAATCTACGACGAATCTACCATTTGGATGTTCGACCGACTCTTTGGAACACCAGAAAAAGAGAACCAGCCGAACCAGCCGC